AATACTCAATCATTCTCATGTCAAATACTCAATCTATCTCATGACAAATACTCAATCTATCTCATGACAAATACACAATCTATCTCATGTCAAATACTCAATCTATCTCATGTCAAATACTCAATCAATCTGAAATTCTGTCAAGTTTTATCTGTCATCACCCAACAACTCATAAAACTAAAGTTATGCTTAGTGCCATCGTGTCACAATCTGCTAGCTAGTTGGGAACGGTAATATTGTATGCTATGGTTGCTTACTGCCATCGTGTCATGGTCCGCTATGTAGTTGAAGACGGTAGTAACGCATGCAATAGTAGCTCACTGCCATTGTGTCACAATCTACTGGCGAGATGGACACGGTAATTTAGATCAATGGGTGCTCATTCTTGTCGTGTCACAATCCGTTAGCTATATAGTTGGACAGTCTATTTCGTAGTTGAGAAAGTTCTAAGTTGATCTATCGTTATTGGTTGTCAATTCATTCCTATCTTCATTTGCCTTTTTGAAATTTGTATGCTCCTGACAGGCCTCTCGCCTCTAACTTCTACCTCCATGTCCATTTCGAGTAGACTGGCAAGCTCTGGAAGAAACAGTGTTAGAAACTGACAATGAAATGTTATCGTTAATGACCACTGGAAGACAAGTGAGAGAGTATATATTTGAATGTATTAAAGTAAAAGTTTGAAATCAATATTTCACTTATTCTATCTACTGTCTTACTTCAGCAAACCTCGCGCTCGGTGCTGCCTAGCTGTCGCGTGCTATTATTCCAATTTTCATTTGGCAACAGTTAGACAGTAGACACTGTCATTCATATTCACTTTCTAGAGTTCATCATTTACTAGTTCAGGCTATTATTTTATCAAACTGACACACAATAAGCGAGCGGCAGTAAATGTATCGGTGTGATCAGACGATGTGATGGAACAGTATTAAACGTCTACATGTTTTCAAGGATTTCCAAAAAGAGATATTACGAGTGAAGCTCAATAAATTCCAGTGTGTATTAATTCTATGAATGGATAGAACCGAGATGGAATCCATATAAGCAACTTGTCGGCGCCTTTCATCTTTAATTAGATGATACTTCTCTAATTAATTTCGAGAAACCTGGTATTGTATATTGTGTAGAGTTTTATAGTAAACATTATGGCGAGAACACGGTGTGTTATTAAAACAACAAGAGATGTGAAATTCATAACATATGAGCTGATATATGTATTGTTAATTGTATTGTGTTTATGGCCTAGTGTTATTAAAAGTGGTAAAATCGACAAGCAGTGCGATCGATGTAAAGTAAAGGTAAAGAAAATGTTACTTTGTATCACAAATTACCTGATTAGGCTATTTCTACGTTTTATTGATTTTTACAGCTGTATTCTGGAGTAGACCAGGGTTTATCAAATTAATGGACAAGTTGTAATATATTTAGGCTGAGTCGATCGAATTCGCAGAGTTTTTTTTTTATATTAATAACCTCATTCGTCTTGTCGTGAAACATTCTCATAGATCACTCGACAGATAAGAATTGAAACAGTGTAGGGTTATGCCTATTATATTTTTGTTAATGTTTAGAGGACTTGGTTGTTACAATGTTGTATTTTTACGACTGTCTTGTTTGATTGATATCTTGCATTTATGACGTTTGATGCGACTGGTGTTTGATAGGTATAATGCATTTTTATGATTTTTGATGGGTCCTTTGTATTTGTTACTATGACGTTAATGTGTTGCATTTATCACGTCTGATGGGTATGTTGCATAGATGCGACAATGACATTTGATGGGAATGTTGCATTAATTCAACTATGGCGTTTGGTGGCACAATGACTTTTATGGATATGTTGCATATAATAATAATTATTTGATGTATGTAACGTAGCTGTTGCAATAGTGAAGACATAAGCATAAGCCTAGCTCTCTATGTGTGGCAACCCCACCGGTCTTTGATGACACTTTGATTCAGTTGTAGAACACGAACCGTTTTGAAGTGTATCAAAGTAAGAAATGTGATAATAATAAATTGTAAAAATTGAAATCAAATTGGTTAACTATATAATATATGACGACTATATACTCTCCGTTCCATTCCACGTGGACGTATAAAAATTACTCCAGCGTAAACGTATTACCTGTAATAATAATTGTAGAATATTGTATGTAGACTATAATTTCAGCCTCATATTTATAGTAATTGATAGAATGTAATCATTACTTAAAACTTAGTGATGTAAGTAAGACAGGGTACAATATGATATTTGGTCAGCGACTGCTTTTGACATGTTACTGTCATAATGAAATGCATTTATACAACTATTACATTTGATGTCACAATGACGTTATATGGATATGTTGCATTTATTCGACAATGACGTTTGATGTCACAATGACGTGATATGGACATGTTGCATTTATGCGACAATGACGTTTGATGTCACAATGACGTTATATGGATAAGTTGCATTTATGCGACAATGACGTGATATGGACATGTTGCATTTATGCGACAATGACGTTTGATGTCACAATGACGTTATATGGATATGTTGCATTTATTCGACAATGACGTTTGATGTCACAATGACGTGATATGGACATGTTGCATTTATGCGACAATGACGTTTGATGTCACAATGACGTTATATGGATAAGTTGCATTTATGCGACAATGACGTGATATGGACATGTTGCATTTATGCGACAATGACGTTTGATGTCACAATGACGTTATATGGATAAGTTGCATTTATGCGACAATTACGTTTGATAGCACAATGACGTGATATGGATATGTTGCATTTATGCGACAATTACGTTTGATAGCACAATGGCGTCTATGGACATGTTGCATTTATGCGACAATGACGTTTGATAGCACAATGACGTTATATGGATAAGTTGCATTTAAACGACAATGACGTTTGATAGCACAATGACGTGATATGGATATGTTGCATTTAAACGACAATGACGTTTGATAGCACAATGACGTGATATGGATATGTTGCATTAATGCGACAATGACGTTATATGAATTATGTTGTATTTTTGCGACAATGAAGTTTGATTGGAATTAGTGTTAATGCGACAATGTCATGTCAGTTGTGTTTATGTTTTCATGATATTTTAGGAGTCAACACTTCCCACCTCCTCCTTCTACCACTGTTAGGACAGACAGAGACAAGACATAACAAGACCAGATATAAAAACAATAAAGATAATTTGTTTTGTCCGCAATGAACTTATGTAGGAATATTGTTTATCTATTATTGTAATGAAGTCTGGTTTCCCATCAGACTAATTTATATCGATTCAATTTGTATTTTCTCTAGATCTTATCGTATTGTCTTCAAATTCCTCTATACAGCCCTATAACAATACTTATTTCATTAATTTAAACCTGTTTTAACGTGTATTAATACTGCTGTCCTGACAAAATTTCCCTTATTGCACACTGCGTGACTTTACCTGTCTTCATTTGCCATTAGGTACAGAAAATAGGCCTTACACTCCATCCATTTCATTTCAGTTCATTGGAATAGGTCATCTTGTATTCTACAGAAAAAGAGGAGACTGGCAAAGAATTCTCTTATTTGACCCTGCATGACGTTGTCCGTCTTCATTAGCTCACAAGGTGCAGAAAAATAGGACGTAAAACTCCATTCCGTTCCATTTTCATTTCTATGAACTGTATGCAAGCATTAGAACAAAAATTTTATTTGACAAATTAGTCAATCAAACCTTTACCTGCGGATCTATGACATCACACAGTACCTTACACGAAACTATGTATGGTTCTTAAAATGGAATAACACACGAACGTAGTTCACAACCATAATGAATCTCAACCTCGACTTAATACGTCGAATTTTCAATATATCTTTAAAATATCAACGAAACCTTCAAATCAGACTCTAAGCCATTTCTAAAACTTTCAATGTGATTTGAAGGCCTAATCGAAATGTTACAAACAATTCGGCTTATTAAGTCCAAGTAGTGATTTAAAATGGCTGTGAACTACGTTCGTGTGTTTTATTTCCATGTAAGAACTTTACGTAGTTTCGTATGTCACGGCCTCGATCATGTTTGGATAGATTTTCACCATAATGATGAGAAATTCGATCAAAACTAGTTTTCTCATCGTACGATAAGACTACATGAATCAGTGAAGTTTTTCAATTTGAACATAATTTGGCAATTGGCAATTCAGTTTATAGACTTTACGTCGTAGGAATATTAAAATTGTAGAAATTTTAAGAACGAAAATGTGTGAAATTGTGTGTGTTTTTTTTTCCTGAGAGAACTTGTAAATTCTTCACCTAGAACATTTAAAAATCGATATGTTCTCTGCATTTGTCAATATTCCGAAGACATAATCACTGCAATAGATGGAAAAAATTACCAACTGTGGCGACACTATGATAAATTATTAAAAGGTTTCCACGTTCTTAGATACCTATTCGTACGTATATATAATTTATTGACAGTAACTATAATATTGTGTTAAAAACAGATACTAAAACATAATGAATATAAAAGGGATTGTAAAGAGGTTTTCTACTTTTTATGTGTATCGATGACACTGATAACATTTGCATCATTCCAATTTTCTTTCTCTCCTGCAATTTCAAACTAATCGAAAAATCTGCGTATATATCAAAATATCGTGGGTGACCGCTTGAAACCTCGTATAACGATATATGATGCGAAATTACTTTTCAAGAAAAACGTAAAAAACTATTTGTACGCGTAATTTGTTAAAATCTTTTTTATTATTTTTTTTTAAACGTTACACGTGGCTTTCATTCTTTGAAAATTTAAACCTCGTATAACAGTTTGAGAACTGCGGCCTATTCAACCAATAACTCATATATTAGTATAGTATACGAGGTTTTACTTTTTCATCCGCAGAAAAAGGAACATTGAACCCCGTATAATATAATATTTTACGAGGTTTTAAATCTGACGGTTTATATAAGTGTTATTTAATTAGAGGTTTTTGGGTTATTTACAATCAAGCTAAGAATACAAGGTTTTGATCACAAGATCCGCGCTTTTACGAGCTTTCGAACAGAACCAAAAAGTCAAAATGACCAAATATGGCATATACAAGGTTTCAAGCGATCACTCACGGTATACCCTTTGCGGTTATGAAACGGAACCACAGACGACTTATTGTAAATTGTAATGGTGTTATTTAAAGCTATCAGTGTCACCTCTTTACAATCACTATAATCCCACCTATCAACATTGTATACCTGATCAAAAACACTGTATAAGAATAGAACAGTATGCAGTCATGGGACCCATAGATTTTTCAGTCCCATTAGTCGATGAAATCTTTACCAATGGGTCAGGAAAAATAAGAAAGAAAGAATTTATTAACAGCTTAGGTTCACAATTAAAGCTCAAACCTTTCGGCGTTCATCTAGCAAGGTTCACAATTAAGAAATCCTATACCAGCTGGTCCTTGGAATTAGACGATGATACAGTCATGGTAGACCCTTGAGGATTATTCTGTGCCTATCAAATAATGAACTTTACCTTTTTAAGGTAAACACAGATTTATTGAAGAGACGATGGAAATGAAATGAAGGATGTTTTTTCGTCCTACGTTTCTGTACCAGACGGGCAACGCCATGCAGAGTACAATGAGGGATATATTTGCTGCCAGGTCAGCGGCCTTAGTCTGCTCTTTTTCGATTCTAAATCTTTGACTACACAGCCTGTAGCACACAGGGCCTCGGTTTATTGTCACATACGAGCGACTATAAGAGACGATGGATGACAGACAGTTATACATAGAGTAAAATGTTTATTTTTCACACCAATATGTTGTTTCAATGATTTATTAGATGTGTTTATGTAAGAGTTAAATTGCTGCTAAATCAATCATAATGGTGCAAACAAGGTGACGAGAATATGGCGTTCCAAAAGAAACGATAACACTTTTTAATTTTTTTCGTGCAGTATCAAAGCTTTGATCATAATATTTAGACCTGAATATATGAATATGAAGATATCTTTTCAGCTTAGGATTTTTCGTGAACTACTGACGTTAAGATCATAATATTTAGACCCGACAATTCACAAGTTCACAAGTTGTCATGACAATTTCAAAGAGCAAAACAACAAGCGAAACAAAAAAGTTAAGGAGGATATTTATAACAGATCGACTGGTACGGCTTGGGGTAAAAACCCATAAATATTACACGAGAAAATATTCCTCAATGAAAAATGTCGTTTTTATATGTACAATTTCACCACCTTATATACAACTCAATTGATATGAGGAATATAAAGATAGCAAACCATATCTAGGCTGTTTAAAAACTCTGTAAAATCAAATTTTTATATAATTATAATTTCAACAGTTTTTATAACATGCAACTCAATTGAAATATGAGATTACAGTAAACCATATAACGCGAAAAATATCTTACAATGATTATTAATATTAAAACCAGTAGCGGCGCCAGTTGGGTACAGGGAGGGATTTGTCCCTATAGAAAACTGGTTTGCACCCATAATTGTACCCCCTCTTTATATTTTACAAATGTTATGCGCCTAATCAATTCAATTTGTAGAACATTTTCTCAGGAGAACCTTCTCCGATGCTGTATGAAGCTTTGCGACATTGACGTGTCCACAGAGTTGCCGCATTTTGAATTTACCCTCGACATTAATTTTGTCCCCCATCTAGTCAGCCTGCCCCTATTGTAGCCCCAGTGCCAGGAGTCTGGCGCCACCACCGATTAAGACAGAACCTAAAAAAAAAAACATGTTGTTGTTTCTCAGAGTTTCACGTTATGTGATCTTCAAACAAAGATTATATATCTGCACTCTAGGAAGATATTAAATCAAATTTTTAACTGCTTCCTATCCTTCAAACCTTCATATTATGTACATGTTTTGTCAATGAAATTAAATTTTTCAAATATTCTAGTACATAAAGGCGAATAAACTTACAGAAGATATATGCCTGTTATCATACGACCCAATTTATTTTTCTCAACCTGGTAAAAAAAACTCCAGAGGGTGTGGGACATTGTTTAAGTTTGATAAACGGATTTTAGGCTTCAAGTTTTTGCTTTTTAGAAATAAGTTTTGTGAGATCTTTTAAAGATGGATTTCTTGATTTTTTAGTGTGAAATTAAGCAAACTATTTGATGAATTGGTGTTTCTTATGAATTATCATGTATTATTAATCATATCATTATGTTCTTATTGCATATAACTAAAGAGTTTTAACCAATCATAAATGTCCATATATGTACAGTCTGGATAAACAATAAAAGACTTTTTGACCTTTCTTGTATCTGTTTTAGTTGTTAGATTTCGGAACATTGACATATGGAAATATAACTTTGAAAACATGTTGGTTTTACAATATCATAGGAATAGGTTAGATAGATATAAACGTCCTCTTTTGCAAAACGTCACATTCAGTTTCACACATTTACCGCCATTTTATTTTTGCAATTGTATTTTCGTTGATACTTTTTGATATTTTATGTATGTTTTGTTTTAAATTTTCGCAGGACCACTTCAAACTATTGATATGTACTGACGATTTTACTATTTAAAACATTCTAGTAGCCTGGTTGCCAACGTGGGATGTTTTCACCCCTGGGGTGTCAGGGATCTGGCCAACATGTGTAGGCTGAAACCACTGTTCTAGTACATAAAGATTTGATGATTTCAACAATTTTTGTTTATAGACGTATACAAGAAACAAAAATGCATGACATGACATAAATGTTTGATATTTCTGTTTGATATTTCTGTTTGATATTTCTGTTAAATAAATCAAGATTTAAAGTTGTCATTGACCCAATTTTTGGATATTTGAAAAATAAAGAGGAATGTTAATGTAATAGAGTAACTTGACATAAACAAGGAAGTAAGGAGAAAAGATGGGGGAGGAAAAGCGAAAGAGAAGGGAGGGGTGGGGACGATGAGATGAAGGAAGTGGCATGGGTAGACGACGAAAGGAGAGGAGAAGAGGGTGAATTATATTTTACGTCGTACTCTTCTGCACCACTTTAAAGGGAGTGGGAGAGAAAATAGGAGAGGAAGGAGAAGGGAGTTACTATACTGTTACGGAATTACCTTATACTTGTTTTCTAAGTGAATAAGTATTCCATAATGAAAAGTGGTATCAGGTGTCTTGAAGAGTAAGCAAGCCCTTTCTGAAACAGGCTGTTTATACAGTTAGATAAAGCTGTATGATATTGAGATATTGGCAAGGGACTAGGGTGTCAGGGGTGTGGGACTAGGGTGTCAGGGGTGTGGGACTAGGGTGTCAGGGGTGTGGCCAACTTGTGTAAGAGAAGAATTTATATTGAGTTGAAAGAGCACTTCACATCATCACATGCTGGAATGTGGATGAAAAAATTTGTTTTTTGTGCAAGGTCAAGGTGATTGCTCCAGGAGTGTGAAGGCTGAAATAGGTTGGAAACCACTGATATAGGTGCTGGTTGAACCAAGTCCACGGGGTATAATAGAATAACTTAACGAAGATTGGGGTAGAATAGAGTAACTTGACGAAGATAGGGGTATAATAGAATAACTTGACGAAGATAGGGGTATAATAGAGTAACTTGACCAAGATGGGGGTATAATAGAGTAATTTGACCAAGATAGGGGTATGATAGAGTATCTTGACCAAGATAGGGGTATAATAGAGTAACTTGACCAAGATGGGGGTATAATAGAGTAACTTGACCAAGATAGGGGTAGAATAGAGTAACTTGACCAAGATAGGGGTATGATAGAATAACTTGACGAAGATAGGGGTATAATAGAGTATCTTGACGAAGATAGGGGTATAATAGAGTAACTTGACGAAGATAGGGGTATAATAGAGTAACTTGACGAAGATAGGGGTATAATAGAGTAACTTGACGAAGATAGGGGTATAATAGAGTAACTTGACCAAGATAGGGGTATAATAGAGTAACTTGACCAAGATAGGGGTATAATAGAGTAACTTGACGAAGATGAGGGTATGATAGAGTAACTTGACGAAGATATGGGTATAATAGAGTAACTTGACCAAGATGGGGGTATAATAGAGTAACTTGACGAAGATAGGGGTATAATAGAGTAACTTGACGAAGATAGGGGTATAAGAGAGTAACTTGACGACGAAGATAGGGGTATAATAGAGTAACTTGACGAAGATAGGGGTATAATAGAGTAAATTGACGAAGATAGGGGTATAATAGAGTAACTTGACGAAGATAGGGGTATAATAGAGTAACTTGACGAAGATAGGGGTATAATAGAGTAACTTGACGAAGATAGGGGTATAATAGTGTACCTTGACGAAGATAGGGGTATAGTAGAGTAACTTGACGAAGATAGGGATATAATAGAGTAACTTGACGAAGATAGGGATATAATGGAGTAACTTGACGAAGATATGGGTATAATAGAGTAACTTGACGAAGGTAGGGGTATAATAGAGTAACTTGAAGAAGATAGGGGTATAATAGAGTAACTTGACGAAGATAGGGGTATAATAGAATAACTTGACGAAGATAGGGGTATAATAGAGTAACTTGACGAAGATAGGGGTATAATAGAGTAACTTGACGAAGATAGGGGTATAATAGAGTAACTTGACGAAGATATGGGTATAATAGAGTAACTTGACGAAGATATGGGGATAATAGAGTAACTTGACGAAGATAGGGGTATAATAGAATAACTTGACGAAGATAGGGGTATAATAGAGTAACTTGACGAAGATAGGGGTATAATAGAGTAACTTGTCGAAGATAGGGGTATAAAAGAGTAACTTGACGAAGATATGGGTATAATAGAGTAACTTGACGAAGATATGGGGATAATAGAGTAACTTGACGAAGATAGGGGTATAATAGAATAACTTGACGAAGATAGGGGTATAATAGAGTAACTTGACGAAGATAGGGGTATAATAGAGTAACTTGTCGAAGATAGAGGTATAATAGAGTAACTTGACGAAGATAGGGGTATAATAGAATGACTTGACGAAGATAGGGATATAATAGAGTAACTTGACGAAGATAGGGGTATAATAGAATGACTTGACGAAGATATGGGTATAATAGAGTAACTTGACGAAGATAGGGGTATAATAGAATAACTTGACGAAGATAGGGGTATAATAGAGTAACTTGACGAAGATAGGGGTATAATAGAGTAACTTGTCGAAGATAGAGGTATAATAGAGTAACTTGACGAAGATAGGGGTATAATAGAGTAACTTGTCGAAGATAGAGGTATAATAGAGTAACTTGACGAAGATATATACGCCCTTTGTGGGCAGCATACAAATATAGAACAGTACAATGATTTCCAATGAAAATAAAATGAAACACAGGTACATGTATATGAAAAGTAACACAATGAAGTATAAAAGTTAAAAAGTAAAATATTATAATTAGAAGCATTGAAAAGATAATTATTATAAGGTTAAAATAAATATCACTTTAAGGAGTTTATGTATTACATAAACCATGTATATAAAACAATGCGATGACATTTGTTATATAAAAATAGTATACATAAAATGAAGAAATGAAAATAAATATTTTTAAATAGATATATTTAGTAATATGGTGATTATGGTGAATTTTTACGTTTTTCAAAACACATAATAAGCAACAGATGATTGGCAGAATTTGTCAATGTATAAACATATGTTAACATATTGTTTTTCTTTTGTTTCAGGGTGGAATTAACTGCACTGTTACTGAATTACCTTATCCTTGTTTTCTACCCGGTAAGCAAATTTATTTCATTTCCATACGCTCATAATATATGGTGACCTATATTGTCTGGCCGTCCTCCCATCCGCACGAAAGTTGATGTGCTTCATTCTTAACGTAATGCTAGTCTTACGTACCCTTTTTGTTACGTCACATAATCACAGCAATGGTGAGGGAAGACATTTGATTGGATGGCGGTGTTATGAATTACGACTAAAGTTATATAGAAAAGTTGTTAGACCCTAAGGAGAGGTTGATTTAAAATAAATGCTAATAAAACTACTCAGTTTGGTGCAATTGTAATTAGACTGTTCGGATATAAAACCCCTATTTCACTTCAAGTCATTTCAGTGATCATTTTTTATAAGACCAAACTTTAATTTTGGCATTTCATAAAAATTAAAAATGTTCCAGCAATAAACTTCAGATAGATATTGTAAATGACGTTAGTTCCTTCAGGTTATATAGACCACCGAGAGATGTATTTCTAGATTTGGCTATAAATTTGCAGGAAAAATATTCAAATTGATTAGATTCGCAGATCGTTGTGATAAATTTTAATTTTGGCTAATCAAAGGAAATATTGTATCTAAAAAAAGGATTCATTTTGACGAACAAACTGCAATGCGATACCATCTAAATTGAACCTTTTTCATCTGTAACGTTATAATCGAATTAGATGACAAACTAAATTATTACAAATGAAGCAAAAATTAACATCGATTTTTAACCACCCACAACTTTCTCAATTCTTACAACAAATAATAATTCTTTAGACGTTGAAATTTGAGAAAGAACGAAAACAACATAAAACTTTATCTGTGAAAACTATTTATATTTCTAAACTATATTTAAAGACTTGTCGACATATTTTCTTACCCTACATTGTCACGAAGGTGAAATTAATTCTAGATCTTGGAATAAATGTGAAGAGTTATACAGAAGGCAGTGGCGGAACTTACCTCCCGAGACTAACTTAAATGTGCATTCTGACACATATTTTGGGGCTAAAACGTATAAAAATCACATTTTCTAATTTTATTAGAATTGAGACAGAAGGCTGAATCGTTTGTCAGCTGCAGAACCACTTATTCTCAGCCTGTTTCAAAGGTTCTCGTCTTTCTTGGAAGAAAATAAAAATGAATGAAAATAAATAAACCAAGTACTAACGATCCGAACCGCAAAACGAAACCAGAAATCATAATGGCGAAACATTGGTAGCAGCTTTCCATATGAGGAAGTATTTCATAATGAATTGTGAAATCAGGTCTCTGGAAGAGTAAGCAAGTACTATCTGAAACAGGCTGTTTATACAGTCAAATTTATAATAAACTAGTTGATAGTAACATATTGGCTTAATTCACTACGTAGCTTTTGTTGCCGTTATTAACAAAATTAGAAGCACCCAAGTGGCTCAACTAACATATAGGGGAAGGTTGAACCACGTCCACGGGCCTCAGCCATAAGGGGGGCCCCACCCTGTACCTAAGAGAGTATATAAAAGGTCACCGTGTCCAAACCACCCCCATTCGTCCATCGTATCACGAAGCACGGCTTTGTCTTATTAACGGAAGTATGACGAATATTTCGCCCCCCCCCCCCCCCCCCTTCAGAGGGAAACCTCGTTCCGCCACTGGTTTCCAGACAAATCTGTTGCCTCTAGGGGGCAGTAAGATAGCGTGTAAACAATAATTTCATTTCATTTTCTGATCCACCTACATTAATAAAATCAATTTTTGACCCCAGATCATAAACTAGTGTCATAAACTCGACCTTCGTAATTCACCTCGAGGAAACCTAATATGGCTGCTGGCAGACGACAAACATGTATTCATATGTCATAGGAGATAATTATATCACGAAACTGTTGGTAAAATGTCAGGATTTATCTCAAGTAGAAAAGAGGTGTGGTGACAGTCCCCTTGTTTTCGGTAGCGATTAAAAAAGGGTGTTGTAATGCTAGGTTTTGGGGAATGGTGTGGCTTATAACCTGTTTTTTGGCAGTCTTGTTGACCTTTTGGGGAAGCTAGTTTCATAAACTAAATCAATAATCTATCTCTAAAAGCTTTGCGGTGGGTCAGTTAGTTAAACGCTTGCTGAGTGTACTGAACGTCCAGGGTTCAATCCGACATAGGAAAAAATCTAGACGTTCGGATGGGACTGTAAATAGACCGAGGTTGTGCACGTTAAAGATCCCGTTAAAATTCGAAAAGAGTAGGCTTGTGACGCTGTCCTGGCAAAATTTCCCTCATTCCACACTGTATGGTGTTGCCCGTTTTCATTATTCCAATTAGGGATCGAAACGTAGATCGCATAACTCCATCAATTTCATTTCTGCATTTCTTTGATCTGCAATAATTGATAACAAAGAAGACAATAATTCGCTGTCTACTCAGCCATGCCGTACTAACATCTGCCTATTTTCGAAGGTGCGGAAAAACAGGGCCTAGTTTTTCTGACCTTCCTCCAGCCGACGACTTTTACAATAGCTATCAGAGGCTGGAATAGAGGCAGATGTTTCGGATTATTCAACCATGTTGACTTCTATATTGAAATCAGCATCATGAACTGGAATTTCATAATATATTATCTGTAGTCTCTCGAGCTGTCTGGAAAGTGCTTATCCTGAGCTCAGATGACACTCCCACTGTTCAATGTAACCGCTCAACCAGTCATCATAATATACTTTCCTTCCTCGTGAGAATTAAGTAACGAATAGTCTAGCAGACGACAATTCATCTCATTAACAAATCAGACTATTCCCTAGAAACTAGCAGTACCGTTAGCCCAATAGACGACAATTCAAATTCAAATTGAACCGTTTCAAGGACGGATTGTAGCTGAAATGAAGTCATTTGCTTGGTTGCGTCTTGCAAATGGTGATCGTAGTAGTATATAGGTTCAACTCCCATGGTGACCATAAACAAGTCATCTTTCCATATTATATCAGTCAACCAAACTGTAAATGGATATGGATAAAAGATCAACAGGTTTGGCCAAGAACCAGTTGGTAGAAAAGATCCTCGTGGACCTAAGTTCTTATCCTTGTAGAATAGTTGTTTATTTTTGTTTCTGTCAAGTATTTAAAATGTTAGCATGAAAACATTCCAGAAAGTGATGGATCGTTTCGTGTTATTAAGCTTCATCAGCTAGTAAACTAAATATTTAGACTAAAGATGTAGCTGAAATTGAGCTCTGTCAGCTAGTAAAGTAAATATTTAGACGACTATACAGATAGCTGAAATTGAGCTCTATCAACTAGTAAAGTAAATATTAAGACGACTATACAGATAGCTGAAATTGAGCTCTATCAGCTAGTAAAGTAAATATTTAGATGACTAAAGATATAGCTGAAATTGAGCTCTGTCAGCTGGTAAAGTAAATATTTAGATGACTATACAGATAGCTGAAATTAAGCTCTATCAGCTGATAAAGTAAATATTTAGATGACTATACAGATAGCTGAAACTGAGCTCTGTCAGCTGGTAAAGTAAATATTTAGATGACTATACAGATAGCTGAAACTGAGCTCTGTCAGCTGGTAAAGTAAATATTTAGATGACTATACAGATAGCTAAAATTGAGCTCTATCAGCTGGTAAAGTGAATATTTAGATGACTATACAGACAGCTGAAACTGAGCTCTATCAGCTGGTAAAGTAAATATTTAGATGACTATACAGACAGCTGAAACTGAGCTCTATCAGCTGGTAAAGTAAATATTTAGATGACTATACAGATAGCTAAAATTGAGCTCTATCAGCTGGTAAAGTAAATATTTAGATGACTATACAGACAGCTGAAACTGGGCTCTATCAGCTGGTAAAGTAAATATTTAGAGGACTATACAGATAGCTGTAATTGAGCTCTATCAGCTGGTAAAGTAAATATTTAGATGACTATACAGATAGCTGACACAGATACAGATAGCTGACACAGATACAGATAACTGACACAGATACAGATAGCTGACACAGATACAGATAGCTGTATAAATGGACTACACAGGTAGCTGAACCTGACTTCTATCAGCTATATCAAGGTAAACTTGAGACCTATGTTGAAAGGAGTTTGAAACGTGTGATAACTGATAACCTACAAGGCAACGATTCCCTGTCGACTCAGCTATGATGACCTCTCGATAGAAACTAGTATCATGATCTGATTTAATGTCTTCTATTTTATTCTGTTGTCTTGAAATAGCTGCCGGCTGATCAATATTTCTCAACATCAAGCCAATCTAGCCTAGAAAACGTACTTGTATTGCCTCCTTTAGCGAAGTAAAACTACAATATCAAAATGTTTCTTTAACAATGATGTTCTCCACATGGATAGATAATAAATATACTAATAGTGCTAGAGGAACATGCCATATTATATCGATATAGTATTACTAAAATCGAAATGTAATCCACAGATAATTGTTAGTCATAAAATCATGATATTATCTTAGTTAAACTTGTGAAATAGCGCTTTCGTGGCAGTTATTATGAAATAGACCAAAACAAAGAATAAACACCGTTTCGAAACATTGCCAACCCCTTCAAGGAGATCTGATCGGTGTTAATTTTGAATTTTTGATATTCAATGTTTTTGATTCACCGTAATGAATATCTAACAGACTAAACTAGAGAATTGACGCAGGTAACACCTTCAAAGAGTTCGTATTGAAACATATTTGCTATCACCGTAGATCGGCGTCTCGACTCCTCCGCCGAAGACGCTTCGGCCATCCCGCCAGGTCATTTGAGACTTGATATTCGCTAATTTAAACAAAAAGAACGTTTTTCTGATACAGGCAGCAATAAAACGTTGGAATGTTTTTTATTACGTATGACGAAACGAAACAATAAATAAATCTTGTTCTTTTTCAAAATGCAAATGTTTAGCAATTCCACTGTGGCGAGTTTGAACGTGAATTAAAGAAAGCGCGCCATGTTATTTTTTTTTAAATTTTACTTGAGAGTAAAGATAATGTCGGCGACTGCATTTTCGACTTTGTGTTGCTAAGTTTCGATTCAAGACACTGAACACAGGTATATAAACAGTTCGTTACCTCCAACTTCATCAGTTGATCTGCACACCTGTATTATCTTACTGAAAAGTTTGATTCACCTTAATATGAGGTATTATGAAATTCTTGATATTCAAATGTTTCTGAGTCAAGTTGAGATTTTAGTTAAATATCAGTTATGGTGCAAATTGACACAGTTTACGTCCTAAAAGGGGATCTGATTGGTGTTAATTTTGAATTCTTGATATTCAAATGTTTCTGAAAAAAGTTATGATTCGCCGTTATAACAATGATTATGAAACCGATTGAAATATAGAATTGACGCAGTTAACACCCTCAAAGATTGTGTTAATTTTAAAATATTTATTTTTGTGTTAGGTGTTAATGAGAACACGGTCTCAAAAGAGCATTGACCTTGGTCACGAAATAAAGATATGACATGTATATCAAAGTGAACTAAAGGTTAAAGTAGTTATATATGTTAATCAGAAAGAAGTAATCTTTACAGTACTATTTCTCGTGGTAAAATAAGAATCATCTTTCTTCCTGATAAATCCTGTAATCTGAAATATTTTAAGACATATTCATCACGTGTAGGCTACCTATTTGCGAAACAAGGCCAAGACAGTGCGCTATTTCTTTGACCAATCGTCTGAGAAACTGGAATTTCTTTAGCTAAGGCAATCAGTAATAGTGTTCACAGCTCACCGTCGAAATTTGAGCCTTCAAATCCATGTGTGTTCAGAATTATCCGCCTTTGAAAGTTAAAAAGACGAGTCGTCTTTTCTTGAGACATCGCCATATAAAGAAAGGACATTTACAGTAATAAGAAAAGAAATTCCAAGTTTGAATTATTTTTGAAGGCATATTGCAATTTTTCGTACATTCCAAGTACTTCTGGAGACTTGTTGCATATTCTATTCAAGACTCAAATCAACCCCCAAAAATGGCACATCTCTTTAAATTTTTATAAATCAATGATTCACCATAATAGTTCATATGGAACCGACACATATAGAGAATTTGGGCGCAGATCGCGGTGGGTACACGGGAAAGCTTTCCATTTAATTTTGTGAGACAAGTTTTGCTTCGCCTTAATATTATGTTATTATGACTATTATTGGGTGAGAATGAAACAGACAGAAATAGAGAATGATTGATGGTCCTGACTGAATCATTTCCATATTGGTAAATATCAAAGTTATTAGAACAGCAATAACAGTTATAATTCTACCTGGAGGGCAGGGTTACTGAACGTTATTACAATAATTAAGTTATCACTGATCTATAAAGACATGATTTTTCTCTGATCTTTTTTAATATCTCGGAATATTCATGGTAATAATTGGAATTATAAAATCAATTGACGAAGACCAGGTCATTTTGAAGGATGATAAGAATAAATTTTGTTAAAGGTGACAAAAATAAACTTTGAAATGTTTTTGCATACGGTAGAAAAAGCATCATGAAACGGTTGTTTCGTACTAATACCTTGCCGTTTCTATAGGGGGGACCAGGGAGTGAGGGGCATGGCCAATCAAAAAAAAAGGGGCTGGCCTTGGTTTGACCCCTCCAACATTCAATTTTTGTTATCATTTTACATAGTGAAAGAATAGCATGTTGTCCTCCTGGAAAATTTTGTGACCCCATCTCGCCCCCCTCACCTGATGTTTCTTAAAAATGCCACTGTGACTGCAATAGTCACATTACTTGTCTCATGGAAGTTTGTAAATGAAGCGAATTGATTAGATTGTACGCTAACGAATACCGTCAATGAGAAGCCTTGACAGAAAGTCTACGAACATGAACTTTAACTACAACCTTTCTGTCGACGGCTCTGGGTGGTATATTCTCTAGAGTACAATTCAATCAAATCGCCACATTCTGTGATATAAGAAAGGTTACTATAGCAATCAAAGTGTACGAAGTTCGTAAATTCTTGACATTGTGAAGCAAGTATGCACTCTCCCTTTTAAATCTAACTTTTATATAATTTTAAAAAGTTGGAACTTCTTGTTGCTAGCAGAAATATCTCGAATTTTCCAATTAGAAAAATGATAAAATTCAGAAACCAAAATTTTACGTATTTAATTTCGACGAAATGAAATGATTTAATGAAAAAATGTGAGTTTTTTGTTTTTGTTAATTTGAATTTGAATGTTAATTTGTGAAAAGTTTGTGTTGGTAACAGCTTTTAACAATGAAAATAAATTAACTGAATAGATAACAATTCGAGGTTAGATAAAATCATTACGTGTGAAAGTATCAGAGCGAGATGACTCGTTATATATATAGTCGCAAAACGGTCTACCAGTATAGTTCCACTAGTGTAATATATCACAGTCTTTAATGACCCGTGTGCCATTTTGTGGGTGTTGAATATATGTAAATAGTCTTCAGAAGTACAATGTACTTGAAATGTACGAAATTCACACAATTCCTTCATAAATATCTCAAACTTAATATTTTACTCACTATATATGTCTTTTCTATATATCACAACAGAGTATCTTAAATTGGCGAGTCGTCATTTTAACATTCAAACGCAGATAATTCTGGACACACGTGAAATTGAAGGTTCAAATTTCGACGGTGAGCTGTGAACACTATTACTGAGACTAAAATGAAGATTGGTCTACCTGTTCCTTTAATGACAGCCATCGTTTGTCGGTACTATGTCCATGGATTCTACAAATAGCTTATAATATTTACTGGGTTTTAGATTTTTCAACTCAGGGACATTCCGCTTTTTTGTAGGTCGAACAATTTTTGTCAAAATTTGTGAACACTATACACCAAAATCTAAAAAAAATATGTCCCTTAAGGATGGGATTCCTTTTTTTAGTGTCAAATTAAGCAAACTATTTAATTAATTGGTGTTTCTAATGAATTATCGTGTATTTTTAATCACATCATTATGTTCTTATATTGCATGTAATATAAAGTTTTAACCAATCATGTATGTCCATGTATGTACAGTCTGAATAAACAAATGCTTTTTGGAAGCTGTCAGAAAACTACTCTACGGATTTGAGTAAAATAAATGCCTTATTATATATATATTTCTCCAACGTTTTCTAGGTTTTAATGAATAATATCGATCCAAAACTAAGTTAACCCGCTTGATTAACAATAAGAACTCTCCGTTTTTAATAAACACTTTTAAAATAAATTTATATTGATCAAGTAGATACAAAGATGTAAATATGATACTTTAGAAATATTTTCAGATATAATTTAAGACGTTAATGAAAATGGTTTACAAAAAATACGGAGCGTCCATAAAGTGTTTATTTGGAATTTGGGGTTTGTCAACTCGACATCCCTTTCAGAAATGCCATATAGTTAGTGATGTTAATAGGGTTTTGGGAAAGTCAACTCTCTATTTAGTATTTGGGTTTATCAACTCGACATTCCTTTTAGAGAGTCCACTAAGCTAATAATGTTCATTTGGTATTGAGGTTTGTCAACTCGACATCCCTTTCAGAGAGTCCACATAGCTAATAATGTTCATTTGGTATTGAGGTTTGTCAACTCGACATCCCTTTCAGAGATCCCACAACCGACTAGTCTACTACTAAAAACTAAAAGTGAAACAGTACCCCTTTAAAAGGGACTACATTGCTAATAGAGTTTTGGGGTATTGCCAACTCTACTTCCCTTTCAGAGAGCCCAAATAGCTTAAGATATTTATTTGGTAGGCCTGTTCGGTGTTTTGTCAACTCGAAATTTCCTACAAGGAAGTGTGGTCTGCATGGGATTGATCCCTGAATATGTCTAAGGCCTATATCGCTTAGATTCAACCCAAGGCTTTTATCACTTGGATTCAACCCAAGGCCTTTATCGCTTGGATTCAACCCAAGGCCTATATCGCTTGGATTCAACCCCAGGCCCATATCACATGGATTCAACCCCAGGCCTACATCACTTGGATTCAACCCCAGGCCTATATCACTTGGATTCATCCCAAGACCTATATCGCTTGGATTCAACCCAAGGCCTATATCGCTTGGATTTAACCCAAGGCCTATATCGCTTGGATTCAACCCAAGGCCTATATCACTTGGATTCAACCCAAGGCCTATATCACTTGGATTCAACCCAAGGCCTATATCCCTTGGATTCAACCCAAGGCCTATATCACTTGGATTCATCCCAAGACCTATATCGCTTGGATTCAACCCAAGGCCTATATCGCTTGGATTTAACCCAAGGCCTATATCGCTTGGATTCAACCCCAGGCCCATATCACATGGATTCAACCCCAGGCCTACATCACTTGGAGTCAACCCCAGGCCTATATCACTTGGATTCATCCCAAGACCTATATCGCTTGGATTCAACCCAAGGCCTATATCGCTTGGATTTAACCCAAGGCCTATATCGCTTGGATTCAACCCAAGGCCTATATCGCTTGGATTCAACCCAAGGCCTATATCCCTTGGATTCAACCCAAGGCCTATATCCCTTGGATTCAACCCAAGGCCTATATCCCTTGGATTCAACCCAAGGCCTATATCCCTTGGATTCAACCCAAGGCCTATATCACTTGGATTCAACCCAAGGCCTATATCCCTTCTTTCCAATGAGATGGTAAATCGATCTAAGAGATGGGGAATTTTCTCAATGAACACTGCATGGCGTTGTTTGGGTTAATTATCGACATTAAACAATTCAACTCCATTTTATTTTGTATCTTGTAGAGAGTGATGAGAAAGATTTTCCCCACCAACCTCGAGATGTCCAATCAGATAAACATCTCTACAACGACTCACGATGGCATCTTCATCTTGCCTGGAAATTACCATATGATTGTAAGTAGCCCTACCTTCCATTTTTATTTAGAAAATTATCATCCTGTTGGCCTGATCTGGGTT